CAGCCTTATTATTATAACCTTAACCTTATTATAAAGGCTGAGAGGATGCAACTGGTGGGTTACATCCCGGTCAGGGCTGCAGTGCAGGCATTTTGGAGCTCCTGCCGTGCCCAGCGTCGCAGCAGTGGTCTTTAAGGGACCGAGTGTGTCAGGTTGTCACCCTGTGCCACACCGGGGCTGGCGGGGAAGGGCTGTGCTCCGCTCTGGGCGAGGAAGAGCTTCATCAGCTCGGCCTTTGGCGAGATCGTTGCTGGTTGGTCTTGTGTGCTGGGGCCATGGAACAGATGGTGCCAGCGAGAAAAGGTGTTAGTGCTGCCTTGCTTCCCGAAATCGGCGTTTCCGCAGAGGTCTTGCGCCTCTTCTGCAGGAAGGTTTAACTGAAAGAGTATCGGAGGACAGAAAGGGCTGACGAGAAAGCTGGGGGGGCTTTTCCCGAGGGCAGGGAGTGACAGGACAAGGGGTGATGGGTTTAAATGGGAAGAGGGAGATTGAGATGGGACATCAGGAAGGAATTCTTCCCGCAGAGGGTGGGGAGCACTGGGACAGGTTGCCCAGAGAAGCTGTGGATGCCCCATCCCTGGGAGTGTCCAAGGCCAAGATGAGGCTGGGAGCAACCTGGGCTATGGAAGGTGTCCCTGCCCATGGCAGGGGGTGGGGCTGGGGGGGCTTTAAGGTCCCTTCCAACCCAAACCATTCCATGATTCTATGATCTTTTCTTAGGATATGCACAGTGGGAAAGACCCTTAGTCCCGGCTTCTTACTAAGCAGTCTGATGGCTTGTTGGCAACAGCTTCGTGGCTTGAGGGGAGGATGCTGTGGGTGGTCTGAGGTTTAGCCTGGAGGGAGGGCTCCTATCCGCTTCCCTTTCCGGGGTGCTTGTCAGAGGTGTTAGTGCAGCAGCCGCTGTTCACTGGCACTTGGGCCGGCTGCGCGTGCTGCCGCAGAGACTGGCGACAGCGGAGCGGCGTTTTCAAGGAGGCAGGTTCCCCGCTGAGGGGCAAGCTCTTCTCTTCTCCCTGGTTCACGTGTTTTAGCTGTCTCCCCCCCTAAATCCTGCCCCGTGTGCAGCTCCACGACATAACTAACTGTTCAGAGACATGCCAGGCCTGATTTGCTCCATGGAATTCTCCCTGATGTTGAGGAGTGAGCAGAGGAAAACCTGGAGCGAGGACCTGCCTGGCAGTTGCTCTGAAAAGCCGACTTGCAGGCTCCTGCAGACCTTGTTTACTTCCATAGATCACGAGGAACTTCCGGTAAAGCGGTTGAATCACAAGTTCCAACGCTTCCTGCTACTTCAGTGACCCACCCCTTCACCTGCTGTGCTGAAGCGCCGGTGTGTGCTCGCGCATGTGTGCTGGTGTAACGTTAGAGGGAACTCCTGCAGTCGGTTGTGAGGCTGGAGTGGCTTTAGCTTAGGGCTGGTGGTGTATTTCAACCCTTTTTTCCATACTTGGGGCTGAACAGTTACGTGATTGCTCCTCTGCTCTCACTCCTTGTCCGAGTGTTGGACTTGCTCGGGTGAGGAAGTTTGAGGTGCACCTATGTTATGTTTGGAGGGTACTTGGAGCGTGCTTGCCACCTCTTGTAGGTTTGGAGCCTGTGCCTTGGGATTCCCTTCAGATGAACCAGCCCTAAGATGCAGCCCGTGTCTGGGTGCTTGGCTTGGCTGGCGGGCAAGGCTGGGCCCGAGTTTGGAGTATTCTTCTGGAACGCGCAGTGTGGACACGCTGCTGGGCCTTCAGCCTTGCTCCGAGGATCTGCTCTTGGTGTATCCTGCTACTTGTGGTGTAACCGTACCTTCAGAAACTGCAGTGTGTTTGTGGAGAGGCGTTGAAGAGCCCGCCAGGTGCTCTAGGGCGAGTTGGATAGCCGAAAAGCCGCGCAGGCAGGAGTTGGTGTGCGTGCTCGTCTGGAGGTAGGTTTTAGGAAGCGTTAGGTAATCCAGGCAGGCCACAGGCGAGGCTTTCTTTGCTTGGGGATTCTTTCAACTTGGTTGTTTCACAGCTGCAGGTTGGCAGCCTGACTCCTCGTTGGGCAGAGGGTCCTTGGGACAGACGTTACGAGTCACCTGGAAGGTTGTTGGAGTTGGTCTGCCAGCCACGAGGAAAAAAGCCCCTTGGAAGCCAGGCTTCAGCTGGTCTCACGCTGACGGAGACACTTGTTTTCTCTTTGCCTCTGCTTAGTTCTGGGCAGAATGTGTTTCTGAGCTTAATGTGACCGATTTCCTTTAAGGGGATCTCTCAACCCTGCGTTCTGCCCCCTGTTCCAGCGCGGGGCTGGCTTCGAGCGCGTTTGATCTCTGGGCAGGTAGTACCCGTCCGCCGTGCAGCCATCCTGTGGGGAGCAGGCATTTCTCTGGGATGGTAGCCTGCTGGGAAGTGATTCTTTTCATGCTGTTAGATCCAAACTCCTGGCAAGCAGCAGTTTTTCAGTTCTGGTAACTTGGCATGTTCCTCTTGCACCAGTACAGCCCAGGAATTCCCAGCGTAACACGCTCTCGCTTTAATCCTCAGCGTAAGGTGAAGCTGGTCTTGGCCTGGGAATTTGCAGCGTTCCTCTTTGTGCAGAGTCTTTTTACGAGTCAGCTGCTGCTGATGTTTGATGGGGGGGTTGGGGGTACCTCTGAGGCGTTCTGCTGAGCTGGGCAGACTGAAGTGCGGGGTGAAAGCCGCGTTGACCTCTCTGTGCTGGGACTTTGAATCCTCGCAGGTGGAGTGAATGCTTCGTGTGTGAAACCGAAACTGTATGGGTGCAATAACGCGTTTTAGCCTGTCCACTCTTGGGCCTTCGCCTGGCAGGGAATCTCTGGAGCAAGGATGTCACTTAAGGACTGTGTTAGCTGGGTATCTTGGAGAATCCTTGTCTTAAAGGTGTAACTGAAACTGGCTTGCTGAAACGGACTCTTAGCTGGGATCCGTGCCTCTGCCCTCGTGGTGCCGAGGGGGGGGGACGGTGTCAAACAGATCTGAAGATGTGTCATGTCGGTGACTTCATCTTTTTGTTTTCTGCCTGCTCACGTCCCGCACCGAGGCAGCTTTTCAGCTGTCGTGCTGCCGCGTGGTTCTCGTCACCTTGCAGGAAAGCGTTACAGGAAGCTGACGTCATCTGGAGTACAGTGTATGCACGTAGCTCCCAGCGGGAACCTGGGAAACTCCCCGTCCTTCCTGGAAGTAGGAGTAGCTCTGAACAGGAGGTGACATAAAACTGGTCTGCAAGTGGTGTGTTTGCTACTCCGCTTCTTCCCTTGGCAGCTCCTAACCGCCTGCCAACGAGCTGGTGTTTCAAGGACTGCTCTTCAGGACAGAATGTTTTCAGACAACTCGGAGGGGCTGTGGGGCGGTGAGATTCCTGTATCCGTGCAGGACCTGCGTGGTAGCTCATCGGTGGTGTCAGGCTGGCTAGCGTGGCGTCTTTGCATGTGCTGTGTCTGCGTGAGCGGGGTGGGAAAGGGTGCGAGAACACGAGTGGGAAGAGGGTTTTTCAGCTAAATACATCTGTCGGCTTCCAACTTCATGTGGCCCTCGTTGGTGCCGCTCAGAGCTCTGCGTCCTCAGTTGGATTTGGAAGGATGGATTGTCATTATTCCTTAAGATACGGTGTTAAGGAAGCCTGGAGAAGCAGATGATCACGGGAACATGGGATAGCATGTCTAGGAGAAGGCAGATGCAGCGAAGTGGCTGTGTAGGTGTAGGGGACAAGGCGGTGAGGGGTCTGGAGGAGGAGCGCAGGCTGCGCTTGGTGCCCTGGGGCTGAACCTGCCAGCTGGGTTGGGTTGGAGGCCTGGAATGGGAAGCTGTCGAGACCTGAACCTTGTGCTGGGGCTACCTCTGAGTCCCAGCGTTAAGTCTGCTCCTGGACAGTGTGCCAGGCTTGGACACTGATGTCGGAGGGTGTGATTGAGTCTTGATTTCCTTCCCTAAAAGAAAAGGAACTGAGTTTGGATCTAAATCTGAACATACTGTGTCCGTGTTACTGAGCACTGTGCAAGTGCACGAGCTGGAAAACTCAGCTGAGTAATTCAGACAATAAATGGAATAAATAAGGAAAAAAGAACTTAGTTTAATTACCAGCGCCAGAGAAATACTTCTGGACGTTGGCAAGCAGGGGCTGTGGCGTTACACTGCAGAGATTGCGGTTGGACTCGCAGCTTTCCGTGCGGGCGCCCGTCTGTGCGGCGTTACTGTCGGCGACTGGCCTGGACAGGGTGTTTCTGTGCTTGATGGGGAAGGAGCCGCGCGCTGGTTTCAGCGTACCTGCGCCTTGGGCGATCCCGCGCCCCTGGGGTCGGGGTTGGAAGCAGGAAAGCAGTCTTCAGAGCAGAGTAGGAGTGAGGGAAGCTCCTGCTTTTCGTAGCAGGAACTGTAAGCTGCATGATCCGAAAGCCTTGCTGCTGCAAGGCCTTGCCGAAATGACATAGCAATGCAAATTGCTCTGGAGACGCCTGTGGCTTCCAAGGATGCGATCCGTTGGCTTGAGCCCACGGGGCTTTGAGGATGGGGATGCAGCTCACGTCCTGTTCGGTCTGCGCAAAGCGTGGTCATGTGCGTCGTGCCCCCGTCGCTGTTGTCAGCCAGGCACTTCCACAGCAACGTGGTTTTGTTTTCTTGATCTTTACTAATGGATTGATGTTTGGAATCCTAAAACTGAGCGTGAAAGACCCAGGGCATAGACGAGGGGCCTGTGGGCACCCCGTGGAATCGCTGGTGCTTGCTGGTCTCTCACTGCTCCCCCGGTGTCGTTGCAGGTGCAGGTGCAGGTCCAGCAGTCGCCGCAGCAGGTCTCCGCTCAGCAGCTCTCCCCGCAGCTCGCTGTGCACCAGGCTTCGGAGCAGCCGATACAGGTCCAAGTGCAGATCCAGGGCCAGGGGCAGCAGCCGGCGGGGCCAGCCCCTCCAGAGCCCCAGCCCGTCTCAGCTGCAGGCGGCGCAGATCCAGGTGCAGCACGTGCAGACTGCCCAGCAGATCCAGGCAGCCGAGATACAGGAGGAGCACATACAGCACCAGCAGATCCAGGCCCAGCTGGTGGCAGGCCAGGCCATCACCGGTGGCCAGCAGATCCAGATCCAGACCGTTGGGGCGCTGTCACCCCCCCCTTCTCAGCAGGGCTCCCCTCGAGAGGGCGAGCGGCGGATCAGCACTGCTAGCGTCCTTCAGCCGGTGAAGAAGCGTAAAGTGGATATGCCTATTACTGTGTCGTACGCTATTTCGGGGCAGCCGGTTGCCACAGTGCTGGCCATTCCACAGGGCCAGCAGCAGAGTTACGTCTCGCTGAGGCCAGACTTGTTAACGGTGGACAGTGCCCACCTGTACAGTGCCACTGGGACCATTACTAGCCCCACCGGGGAGACGTGGACCATCCCCGTTTACTCCGCTCAGCCGCGCGGTGACCTTCAGCAGCAAAACATAACCCACATCGCCATCCCGCAGGAGGCCTACAACGCCGTCCACGTCAGCGGCTCGCCGACAACGCTGGCTACCGTGAAGCTGGAAGACGACAAGGATAAGATGGTGGGGAGTACTTCGGTCGTGAAGAACTCCCACGAGGAAGTGGTGCAGACTCTTGCTAATTCGCTCTTTCCGGCGCAGTTTATGAATGGCAACATCCACATTCCGGTGGCAGTGCAGGCTGTGGCGGGGACGTACCAGAA